ATTTTTTTTCTCGGATGGTCAAAAAATGTCCTTTTCACAACATAAAATTCCGAGTTTTGTTTTAAAAACGTTTTTTGAATATTTTGCGTATAATTTCAAAAAAAGCTTTTTCTTAAGTTTTGTTGAACTACGAAGAAGGCTCACTTCTTGAATCTTGTTACTCTAGATAGGAAGCTCCATTTGGTGTTAAACTTTCAGCAATTGATTTGGTAGTTTTAGCGTAAGGTTTCATTGACTTCGAGAAGTCCAAAATAATCCATTTTTGGGTAAAATTTTGGGCCCAAATTTTGTAAACTAAATCATTTTATATTAACGCTGTTTTTAGCTTCTTTTAGTCCAGTAGCACAAGTTTCATTCAAATTGCATAAACTGGTACTTTGCTTCTTTTGCTTACCTTGCTCTTCATGCAACCTCCCCCTTCATCCCCCTCATCGGACTTGGAGAGTAGTTCAGTGGCCATCTGCTCCCCACTGGAGAGAGACCCATACTCCACTAGGTAGAGATTGGGAGGCAGACACAACTTCCGCACTCTGCCGAGGTACATGAACGAGTCCTTCTTCAGAATCTGGATGTACCTGCAGCACAAAAACAATTATAGGATTCCTTAACTATGTAATAAGTATGTTATAAGTAGATTCCTATAATACATATAAAAAGATATTATAATTTACTTATTGTAAAAACTATAACGCACTTAGATAAAGGTATTATAATGATATTACAAAGGTATCTTAACTGTAATAGAAAAAAATGCTCAATTAGTTCCTTATGGACAGCTTCATTTTCATATGTACAATGAGCTGGAGCACAATCACGAGGATTGTTCGCCCACTCAGAAGTTTGGCGAACAACAGCTCGAGCTCAAGAAAAGTTTCATGCATTTTAATCGACTTTTTCTTCAAGAAACCGGTTGATAAACGAAAACTAGAAGTTCGAAGTCATTATAAAAGTTTTATCGATTAAGATTTTTTAAGCAACCTCTTAAAATCATTGAAATACTTTAAAAATTTTCATCAATGTACAACGTAGTAAACACAACATAAAACAAATTGAATTGAAACAAAATTGAAAAAAGGCCTGAGTTATATTGGCAAAATTCGTTTGAGCCGGAGAAAAATTCTTAGTATATGTCCGTATGAGACCATCACAATTTCTGCCAAATAAGAGTATTCCAAAAGTTTAAATTTTAAAATTGTAACAACTTTTATTTTGTTGGTGAAAGTTATACCGATAAAAGTTTTATATGAGGTAGTTTTTAAAATTTATATGATCGATGAAAAAATAGAAGCAATTTTTGAATCTAACTAATACAAGAAAAATTTAAGAATTCGGCAAATAGAAGCAAGCATGTGGAAAAAGATGTTACTACAGACTAGGATTGCCTAAAATTTTTCTTGAGAATAAATAATAAAAGTATGAACTCTTTTTTTTTTTAAATTGAGGAGTCAGAAACTGACAAATACATAAAGACGCTTCAAATTGAAGATTCTGAAAAACTATCAAGTCTTTGATTCATGAATCTTACGCTAATAAGTTTTAATTAAAGGAAAAAAACAAGAAAAAATCGTTCAAACTTAGCGAAAATTAGCTCAAGATAAAAACCAAATTAAATAAGAGAAAAAAACGGCAAAGTTGGTTATTTGTTGCTCAATTTCAACTTTTTTCTGCGCAATTTTGAGTTTGCAGTTTGAGAAAGTTTAGGTTTAGAAACCGAGTAGGCCGTACGCTCGCTTGGCAATACTTCTGCATTACTCATCTGAAAAATGCAGAATTTCTTGCAAAATTTTGCACAAAGGGAAAAAAAAAAGTGAGAAAAATCCGTTTTAATTGATTTCAAATGGATTATAAGTAGCTTTAAGTTAGATAAAAACAATAATTATAATCAGTTTTTTGATCCAATTTGTTGTCTGAGTGCAACATGGGAATCGATTATATTGATGATGGGTCCTTGAAACTTAGACGACAAAAAATTAGACGACCGTAAAGAAACAGAATTTACGGACAATCAGTATTTACTCAGCCAAAATTTAATTTAGGTCTGTAAACAAATTTCACGCAATTTAATCGCAAGTTATAGTCTAAATTGCGGACAACTAGTATTTACTCAGCCAAAAGATAATTTAAGTCTGTAAACAAAATTTCACGCAATTTCACGCAAATTTTGTCTAAATTCCGTTACTTTTTGATCGTCTAATTTGCTTGTCGTCTAATTTTCTAAACCGCATTGATAATTTTCTAGACCACTAAAATCCATTATAATTGATTTCTTTTTCGTTTTTTTTTAGATGCGAGAAACTATCAAAACGTAGCCGTAGCAAAGTTTCCATGTAAGTACTCTATGATCCAGCAATTTTATAGTGCTAGGCAAATAAGGCAAGACATTAAGATGACATTACATAAGTACGAAAAAAGAGCGTTAACACACGTAAATTGAATTTTTTTAAACTCAGCGAATCCTATTTCTCAGAAATGCAACTGCATAATTTGTGTGCATCATCGTCTAAATCCCACAAAAGCGTTTGTCGTCTTAACAGCTGTACGCTCAATTTTTTGTTAATAGGGGGGATATAGTCAATGATATCCATATTGACAATCTGGATACAGGGGTGCACACATACAGCGGCAGATTTAGGAGGGACTGGGGGGCAAATGCGACCCTCTCACCAACCAAATAACTGCCTGTGGTAAAATTTTCAGAAATCTATTTTAGGCCGACGAAATTTTAAATTTTTGTAAAGGTATATACTAACTTCCGCAGTATATACTAATTTTGAAGAGGAGCGCCAGCCAGAAAACGCAGTTTTTAAGTCAAAATTGTCCAAAAAATGCCCAAAAACGGTTTTTTGACTTAATTTTCCAACAATTTGCCTTCAGCGTAAAAATTTTGGTCAAAATGAGATCTTTATAGTGTTATGCGAGTGTTCTGGGATGTTCGCAGTGAAATCGATTTATTTTTGATAAATAATTGCACAAAATATTCCTTCTCGTTATATAATAGCCTGAAAACTTAGAGTTGGGTTTTCTCGAGGGGGGGGGGGATTTTTCAATTTTTCAAGCTCTCCCAAAGCACTAAAAAGACCCGTTTTGGGCTTTTGGCAAAATTCCCGCGCCGCAGGAAAATTTTTGAAAAGACAGGCCAAAATGGGCGTTTTTAGACACTTTCTGGAAAATTTTGACCGGAAAATTGTTTTTTTTTGGCGCACGCTCCTCCCTCAAAACTTGTACATATTGACGCCGAAGGGATTTTTTCAAAAGTTGTGGACATTTGCATGGAAATTTACGACAGATGATCTAATTGATTTTTTCAGTTCTTCCTAAGCACTTCAAAAAAAAACCTTTTTTTGAAAACATTTTTACATATTGTAGTATTGAGAAATACTACACAGACAAAAGACCATTGTTTTAATTGTTTATTTAACGACCCAATTCTAAATTGGAGCGTGCCATTTAAATTAAAGCCTCTTTTCACTAAATCAGATATTGACTGATTTACTCTTATTAGGACTATAAAATCTTGTTTTGAAAATCCACTACTTTTTAAATACTTGTCCAATTTTTCTCATTTTTTCATGCTCAATATTTTAAAAGGGCGGCGATTATTAATACGTCCCTTTTAACTTAACTTGAAACAAACTGGATAAATATTTAGCAGTCTTGCCGGCTGCACTGAAATTCTCCTTGCTTTGATTAAGCAGAGATGCACCTGCAATATGATGCATCAGAGAGAGTAATATGAATTTTTAATCAGACAAACTGAAGGCTGCGGTTTTTATCAAAGGGGACTAATAAGTTAAAGATATTTGATTTGAAAAAATCAAATAAAAACTAGTTGAAAATTCCCTTATTAGAAAGGGAGAACAAAGGAGCAGGTGAAACCTGAATAATTAAAGATTGAATCAGCCGCCGGTTTATGCTTACGAGCAAAAGGACTGGCCTGAAATCTTCAGTGTTTCATTTTGCTCAGTAAGCAGCAAGTCAGTTCTCTTCAGTCAGATCTTTTAAAAATAAATAATTTTTCTTTTCTGCCCGAACACTAAAATTAATCTAGCCCTTTTCACTTATAAAAAGAGAATAAATTCTCATTTTAAGTTTGAAAAATTATAAATCGAGATACTCGAGGTACGCACACCCGAGGAAGTCTGGACTACAAGTACCCAAAGGACTACGGCAAAACTATACTGACGACCAAACCAGAAGTGCCGAAGTGGACACAACCAAGGGCGACCCATTCATACTAATCAGCCATCGACCTTAGTAAGAAGATAAAATATTGATGAACAAAATAAGATTAGCTCAACCTCCCCTCATAGGTATATTTCTTTAAGCTGTTCGATTCGTTTATATAATCTAATAACCCAGTGCTTTATATCTAACCAACTAATTAATTCATACCTTTTCTAACTATTGTTTCTACTCTACTTTTTGTCAAGACAATTTGACGATCTAAGGTGAGACTTATAAATTAGGATAAAATTACTAAGCATTCAACCAGCAATGATCGCTTAGTAAAACTGGTGCGACCGCAGCAGAGAACTACTCCTTAAGAAATTCTTTTTCCAACAAACTAGAAACAGCTTTTAAAATTCAAAAAATATATTATTATTAGGATCTGTGAGTATTTGTCAGATTAGTTTTCAACCTCAAAAAGCCAGAGACAATGGGTATCTTTCGATAGAAACACAATTTCATTGTCTTCTACTTGACAGATATTCCTGGTAGGGTTCTTGCGAAATGCCTCCCCTGCGCTAGCAGTCGCCCACGATATCCCTCCATCTCGAGGTCTATTAGACGGCTTTCTAACTGACATTAGCTCATGAACTTAACTATTATCTATTATTATAATAATATATAAAATTTCTGAAAGAATCGTTCTCTGCCTAAGTCCGCTAGTAAGATATACCCGTTTTGTCCAGTAATCCACTAAATTTTTGCCGAAACTTCAGTTTAAAGTTATCATCACTAAAATTAACGAAATTCTGTATTAAACTAAAGTGCTCAAAAACTTATTAAATATCTTCAATTATTTTTTCGAGGGGGTTAAGTGGTCATATGTGCGATCTAAGAGTACCCTAAATTGTATGATAAATTGAATTCTTCATCACATTATCTCAAACCATCCACGCTTGTTGCTATTTATTCTAATCCTTCATCAATTCTCGAGGCTTATCCTCAACTTTTCTTAAACTCATTTTAATTCTAACCACCTTAACGTAACTTAAACCTAAATCATCCATCAGTAAAGCTACCAATTACTGAAACTAAGGAAGAAAATAACAAAAAACCAAAAAGGAAGGAACGCATTTGAGTGTTTTTTAATAAATCATTAGTTTTCTTTGACACAGTTTAAATATACACCTAATAAACAATAAGATTAGGCACTAAAACCAATTTTAAACGTTAACCACATAACACCAAACACCAAGTTTTAGTTTCAGCACAAAAATATCAGGTTTCACAACAAAAACTAAGTTTAAAACACTGACACATCCACTTTATATTGATAAACTAGGTTTCATATGATAGCATAAGCACTAAAAAATTGATTTTTACCAGCCAAAATTTTTGGTTTCAGTCTAGGTTTCAGTTATAGGGTCAAACGTTTCAGTTAAAATAAGTATAGTTTCCGGTCAAAATTTTAAGTTTCTGTAAACGGATTCGGGTAAAACAGCAAAAGTTGAACTAGTCAAACCCAAATTTGGATACCATAAGTCAAAAACCTGGTCTTAAATGGTACGTTTTTGTTAGTTTCAGTTTTCAGAACACAAAAATTGAGTTTTTGGTCTCAAAATTGAGCTCCGAACGCCGAATTTTGTCTTTCTAGAGAAAACTAACGGTGTTAAAACCCACCAAACCAATTTTAAAATTTGGTTCCTACGGCTGAAACGTACGTTTCAGAATTGGTGTTTTTGGTTTCAGAACCAAAAATCTTGCTTCCCGAGAAAAATTTTTGTGAAATATTGAAAGATAATAAGAATCCTTAATGCACTAACAAATTTTTGAACTCAAAAAACTTCTTGAAGGTGTTAGTTTGAGCCCTCAAACTTATAGTTTCAGAAAACTAAACTCGTCGTTTTAGGCTAAAATTTTCATCTTTTTGGCAATTTTATTGCTGAAATATAAATATATTAGACAGACCAACCTAAATTTCCAATCTCAAAACTCTAAAACCAAGTGGTCAAACCATAGTTTCAGTTCTAGAAATCATAGTTTCAGCCCCAAAAACTTAGGCTTCCGCAAACAAATTTTTGATTTTGAAGTTACAAATCTGTTCAAAATTCTAATTTACACTAGACCAGCTATCAAAAACCAACTTTTTATTTTCATGCACCGAGTTTGAGAGAGTTTCAGAGTTTTAGGTTTGAGTTTTCAAAAACTAAGTTTAAGATATCAAAAGATTCGGTTTTCTCGAATTTTTTTGCAAGATAAAGCGAAAACCAGATATAATAAAGCGTATAGAAAATTTTAAGATTAAAAAAACTCAACTTCAGCTACCATAATTTCAGGTTTCAGATTATCGTTTCAGTCAAAAAGTTTTCTAAAAATTTTTAACAAAAAAAATTAAGTTTTGAACCAATAATAACCAATAAAGGCATATAGTTGTATTGTTAACCATACCATAGCATCAATAAAACTTCACTTGAACAAAGTTTCAGGTTTCAGTTAAGGTTTCAGCGAATAAAAAACTTGAAAAACTTGGAAAAAATTTTAGAAAATTTTTTTTCCAAAGAAATTTTTTTATTTCCTTATCTTTTTATTAATAACCTTTGTTAATATTCAAAAATTCCTAAGAGGTTTTCATTACTCTAAGACATTTTAATCAAATAGTACAACTTGGCTTAAGAAAAGAAAACAAACATCGTGAAATTAATGTCAACACATTTTAAAATTGACGTCAGTACAATAAATTTAAAGCACAAATTAGGAAATAAAGTCTCTAACAACATATGGTATATCACTAACACTGAAAAAAATCATATTAATATACTAGCTAAACACCCTAACGAAGATAAACACGAATTATACGTCTTCTTTCGACGATATACTCCAGAAATTGACACAATTCTCCAGCAAATAAAAATACCAAATAATATAATTTATATACCGCAAGAACGATTAATTGCTTCACTCCCGATTGCTTTTTGATATCATAATATACCTAAGCACAAAACTACTTGCATTTTAATCAATTTAAAAAAAAAAACACAAATTTTTCCTTAACAAAAATTAAAAACATAACAAGTTCATTCCAAATTGATTAGAAAAATTTAAATATTCTTTATATTGTTTATCATTCCCTAAATAAATATTTATGTCCCTAAAATGATGTAAAATGCTATGACTAACTTTTATCCAGTAAATACAACACCATTTAATTTAAAACTAAAATTAAAAAATAAATCCACAAAAATTATTTGGTACATCACCAATATCCAAAAAGATCAAATCACAATTTTGTCCAAACACCCACACAAAAATATTCACGAATTAACCATTCTTTCCAGCAGCAATACCCCAGAGATAACTTCTATCTTAAAAAAGCTTAAACAGCCCCATAGCACTATTGATCTATCTAACAAAAACTCGTATTCATTGAAACCAGCAAACTTCCTTGTAACTTAAATACAAATATTTTAGTCCGTACAATTGATCAGTACAGAACACATCCAAACCCTTTATATATTGTTAAGAAAACATTGAGTGAATTAAACAAAAATGGCAAACGTAGTAGCATACCCAGATTTAGCTCTCGAAAAGTTTACCGGCTTAGATCCGAATGAAGATGCAAGAGATTTTCTTGATATAGTAGAGAAAAAAATAGCATTTTCCCTAGGCACTAGACCAGGAGATGCAGGTGACGAACAAGACGCATATGATAACAGACAAAGAGCCTTATTTGGTTCAGTATTAAGAGGTCCAGCCGCTCAATGGTATCAGGGATTAGCAGCAAACTTACCTTGGAATGATATAAGAGATCAATTCATAGATAGATTCACTGATGATAAGGATAAATATAGGAGACGAATAGAAGCAGAAAACATAAAAAGACAACCTGATGAATTCATTAAAAGCTACATACATAGATTAAGCACTGCAGTAGACCGTGGATGGCCTAATCCAACTTTTAATGATGATCAAAGAACAGCAAAGAAAATGGAATTCTTTGTACGCGGCTTAAGCCCGCCAGGCTTGAAACAAAAGGCTCATCAATTCCTAATTGAGAATCCACCCGCAACTTGGCAACAATTAAAAGATCATATTGCTACAAAAGACTTAAGTTTTGCAATAAGTAGTGAATTTATCGGAACAGCATCCAGTAGCATAGAAAATAAATTGGAAATAGAGGGAATAAAGAATCAACTTAAAGAGTTAACAGGACTAATGAAGGACCATAAAATAAACGCAGCCTATAATCCACATGAGCATAGAAACAAACAAAACAACCCAATGTTTTGCAACTGGTGTTGCATGTCAGGCCACACGATAAGCCATTGCATTAAATATAACGATCAACAGGAGCAAAATTATAACTCGCTTCAATTAAGAGAGAATTCAAACAGAAGTCACCATAACTATAGCAAGAGTAGGTCAAGAGTAGACAACAATTTCAATGACATAAACTCTCAGCAAGAGTTCAGGCACTTGTCAAACTTCAATGAAAGTTCTCAATCGCGTGACAGGTCGAACAGTAAGAAACACTTCAACGAAAATAACGATTATCATTCACCTTACCAGATCCAGAACTTTAGTGATGATGACATTCCAGGAGACTATACCGATTATGAGTGTGAACTTGTGAATTTAAACTTGATCAGTCTCCGTCTGAACCAAAAATACGAATGGTATATTAACTTATACCAACATCCCGTCGGAGACAAAAATAAAAATAACGGTCTGGAAACCCAATTTCTACTAGACACTGGAGCAACATGTTCGCTTATTAATTTTGACAGTTATGATCAATATTGTAAAATACAGCCTCTACAGCTGAATAAATCAAGATCAAACACAGTTGCTGTTAATGGAGAAAAACTTAAACTTATAGGTTATACTAATTTTGAATCAACTTTTGGTACAAACACTGATATTCCGGTAAAGATCAAAGCATGGATTTCAGCCGAGAACGGATGCGATCTAAATATATTAGGAATGGATTTCATTTCTTACATTTTTAAATCAATAAACTTTCCGAATTTAAACTTAGAACTAAAAAAATACCCAGATGTAAGAGTTCCTATTAGTACTATAAGAAGCAAAAGTTATCCATATCTAAGCTTTTATCAAAATGTACTTCTTGATAAAAATATAACTATTGCACCAAAATCATCCCGCGTAATTTCAATTTCTCCAGCAGGCATGGTTTTCAAATTAGGAACATCGTTTAGAATTGATAAGTCCTTAGAACAAAAAGCCATCAATGCAAAAAGCACTTATTGTAGGAATGAAATTAAGTCAATGCCTATCGTACTAAAAAATTCCAGAGAATCAAAAGTAGATATAAACAAAGGTGTAATAGGCCAAACGTTTGAAAACATAGATATAAAATAAACCCGTTTCTTTGTGCTTTAAAACATTAATTTTCATTAAAGCTTTTAAACCGCTTAAAGTTTTGTGAAGTTTACCAAAATTTTGTATACTGAGCAGTAAACTTTGTTTAATCTTACTAAAAAATTAGATTACGATTATTATCCTACAAATGTACTACAATGAATAGCGGTTCTGTATGACACCCAAAAAGATATGCCAAAATGCATGAACACGGATTTAATTCTTAACCGAGATCAAAAACAGTCAAGTACGCTAACAATTTTGGACCAACCTCAAAATCAAATAAAGATAGAGGGATCGGAACCCAATGGCTCAGACAAAAAAGTTTTTCGACTACAACATATTTGCAAAAAAAATTGCAAAAGGCCAGGAGTTTAAAATATTACAGTTTTACGAGTCTATAATAATTTCATTTTCAGGCGGTTTTATTAACTGAAAATTCAGTATTACACTTAAGGGAATGACAAATTACCCTACGTACAATAACGAGAATTAATAGAGTGAAACCTTTGATAAAAGAACTAGCCAATGTAAAATTGTAACAAACCCATTCTGCAAAGTTAATTTGCACCATCGGATTCCTCTTAGGGCCCAAGTAGGGACCGATGACAAAAATTGTTATCTTTATAGTTTTCAAATTACAAAATGCAAACTAGAAGAAACTCATCAAAAAGGGAAACATCACCTCCTTTTTTCTCAACACATTGAGTAAAATTTTCATCAAAAATCTTTATCATAAAATGGGCGAACAACGTTTTTCGACCCGACCCGCCGCAGATTTATGCCAGCATTTGTTGGTGGCTTCAGGTAGCCTTTTTAAAATTATGGTACCATATTCTTTCAACAACGCAAGTGCTTGTTGGTGGCTGTATGCAGCCTTTGCGACTCTTATGATTCACTCCTCACAATTTGGCCAAAATATCATTTCGGTATTTCAAAATCCACAACATGCAGGCATTTAAAATCTTAAAAACAACAAATTTTCAGAAGCAACACTTTGAAAATTGGATCGCATCATCCTTAAGATTGCTTACGTTAAATTTTTGCATCATAAATTTCAGGATGACTTTCTGTACTAAAGATGTGAACATGGATTGATGCAGAGGATTAAAACTAAAGAGAAACTAAAAACTTATCTTTTTGAATATTATACAGTTTGCAAATTGTCTGTTTAATTTTTCTTTTCTACGATATTTCATTTTGATTTGATTCTAATTCAAATCTTTTCTATTTTCTAACAAAAAACATAACAAAAATTGCTGGTTATGACAACCAGGTGGACATATATTTAAGATTAGGGGTTAATTAATGCCCAAATTTTAATTTTTGCTTTAACTACATAAGTTTAATATCTGAGCTTAACGCAGTGTCGGAAAATGCTTTATTCATGTGGTTAATAAACACCATGATCGTCTTTCTTCATTTGTATTCCTGTGGTTAATAAACACCATGATCGTCTTTCTTCATTTGCTTTCCGTGGTGGGTTTGTGTGAAACCACAAGATTATATTTTCCACCTTTTATATACATACAATTTTACACTTTGTCCTTCATTGTCCAAACATTTGATAATTAGCTTTAATATCCGAATGTAATTCGGGATTTTGAATGTTTACTTATTTTACATTGATGTTTAGCAAAATGGAATATGACCCAATTTTAAACTGGAACTGCAGAAATGCAGACCCAGCACCAGAGGAGTTTAAAAGAAAGCTGCTTCTCAGGAAGAAACAACGGAAACCTGTAGCAGTTCAATCTTTGTCAATGGACGACGGGTTAAATAAGAACCCTCGCAATTTTCCCAGTTTAACCCAAAGATTGGAGCTGCAGAAGTGCAGAGAAACCAAATTGGATACGGAAAATCCAAAATATATAACGAGTTAAAGTACTCAATAAAGGAAAATTATAACAGATGGAAACTGCCATCGTTCATTGAAGTCGTCAACTCAACGACAATGGAAAAGGCGATGATGCCTATCGATTTCATAACCAAGCAAGAAGTGGTTATAAAGAACGAAACCAACTTCTGGAAATTAAAGAAGAGGGAGGAACACGGCTACATCCTCAAGGCAGGAGGCACGCAAGTCACCATCCCTTTCGAGGGAATAACTGCTTTTCCGAACCATGTAAAAAACAGACAGGAAGAACAGGACGACATTCAACAACTTACGGACGGAATGAGCAGACTACGAATCAAGAACAAGATCAAAAAGAAGAAAATCGTGAAGTTGCAACAAAAACTCGAGGCTTCACAGAGGAAGATAGCGAACCTCAGATCATACAATGTGGAGCTAGAAGCCGGAAGGAAGCTCTAGATAAAACCTAACTTATCTTTTCAACCTTTTCATTTGATGTTCTCTTTAAATTTTATAACTATAGTATTTAACCATTAAAGTGTTTAAATTTTCACCATGGTAACTGTAAGAATCGAACAGCTTAATTTTCTAAACAAAGGGGTGAGTTGTAGTATTGCGAAATACTACACACACAAAAGACCATTGTCTTAATTGTTTATTTAACGACCCAATTCTAAATTGGAGCGTGCCATTTAAATTAAAGCCTCTTTTCACTAAATCAGATATTGACTGATTTACTCTTTTTAGGACTATAAAATCTTGTTGTGAAAATCCACTCCTTTTTAAATACTTGTCCAATTTTTCTCATTTTTTCATGCTCAATATTTTAAAAGGGCGGCGATTATTAATACGTCCCTTTTAACTTAACTTGAAACAAACTGGATAAATATTTGGCAGTCTTGCCGGCTGCACTGAAATTCTCCTTGCTTTGATTAAGCAGAGGTGCACCTGCAATATGATGCATCAGAGAGAGTAATATGAATTTTTAATAAGACAAACTGAAGGCTGCGGTTTTCATCAAAGGGGACTAATAAGTTGAAGATATTTGATTTGAAAAAATCAAATAAAAACTAGTTGAAAATTCCCTTATTAGAAAGGGAGAACAAAGGAGCAGGTGAAATCTGAATAATTAAAGATTGAATCAGCCGCCGGTTTATGCTTACGAGCAAAAGGACTGGCCTGAAATCTTCAGTGTTTCATTTTGCTCAGTCAGCAGCAAGTCAGTTCTCTTCAGTCATATCTTTTAAAAATAAATAATTTTTCTTTTCTGCCCTCACACTAAAATTAATCTAGCCCTTTTCACTTATAAAAAGAGAATAAATTCTCATTTTAAGTTTGATTTGAAAAATTATAAATCGAGATACTCGAGATACGCACACCCGAGGAAGTCTGGACTACAAGTACCCAAAGGACTACGGCAAGACGATTCAGACGACCCAACCAGAAGTGCTGACTTGGACAAAATCAAGGGCAACCATACATACTAATCAGCCACCGACCTTAGTAAGAAGATAAAAAATTGATGAACAAAATAAGATTAGCTCAACCTCCCCTCATAGGTATGTTTCTTTAAGCTGTTCGATTCGTTTATATAATCTAATAACCCAGTGTTTTGTATCTAACCAACTAATTAATTCATACCTTTTCTAACTATTGTTTCTACTCTACTTTTTGTCAAGACAATTTGACGATCTAAGGTGAGACTTATAAATTAGGATAAAATTACTAAGCATTCAACCAGCAATGAGCGCTTAGTAAATTATATCCACCAAGAATCGGTTACCTCAATTAAACATGGACTTGATCATAAAAAATATAATATTTTTTTTTCTGTCGTGTTGCAATTAGAAACATTTCAATTTAACCGTGTTTGTACAAAACAGTGCCATGCAAAACAGTCCGATACAAAACAGTCCGGAAAAGTATGAAAATAAACGAAAAAACAATCCAATACAGAACAGTCTGAAAAACAGTCCCACTTAATAATTGTTTTAACAAGCCGGTAGGCTTAGAATTGTCCTTTGTTAAAAAAGCATAATGAACAAAATAGTGACCGCCGCAGTCGCGCCAACGTGTTGCGAGCTTGCCAACAGAAGGTAGGACTTAATACGAAATTTAGAGCCGGTTATCGGCGACCTTAAACCGGACTGTTTTGTATTGGACTGTTTTTTCCTCCATTACATGATTTTTGGGACTATTTTGTATTAGACTGTTTTGTATGGGACTGTTTTGTATATGCACCCAATATAACATATACATAAATTAATTGAAAATGCACGAAGTGTGTTCCCATCTGTCCGAAATGAGGTGCTGGAATTACTTATTGACCGTATGGGTCCAACAAACTTCTGTTTTTGATCCAATTTGCTTAGGTCAATTAAAAATATTTGTCAACCAGGTTCATCTCATAAGTCGACCAAACGGTCAATGCGTGAATTGGTCTAAGTTAACAATTGAGTCGACCAAAGTCGATAATTTCGTTATTCAAGGTCAATTACGGTCAACCAGGGTCAATGCATGATTCGACCAGAGTCGATATATGAATCGAGCAAAGTCAAAAGATCAGAGTAGATGAAGTCGATCGGAATTTTCATTTTTATTTTGTAACAAAAAAGCTTCCAAAAAATCTGAAAATATGAGATACCTAGTCACCTTCTGACTCCTCTGAACACAAAAAATGGCCAAACAAAAGTTTTATAAAGGTGTAATTGAAATCTTTTTACGGAAGATATGAAACAGCTCACTCAATTATTTTTTTGCTCTCAAAAAATGTGCTTACATTTGGATGAAAGATCAATAATGTTTTTTTTTCATAAACAAAGCGATATGCAGAAAAAATAAAAACCAAAACTAAAACTTAATTTATTTAAAAACTATTTATGTTTTAATGATTCACATAAGCCAATGAAGATGAAATGCAAAAAAAATAAACAATTTTGATGCAAGGCCGTAGATATTCACAAAAATTGACCCAAGTCGAGAAAAGACACTGGTATACTTTTGTGGTCGATATATAACTCAACCACATCAACCCGGGTGGTTGCATTGTGGTCTGGTTTTTCAAAAGTTTTGGTAAAAGCAGTGCTTAATCGTAGTCTCAAACTTATTTCATGATGTCCTTTGATATGTTTCAGAAGACTTCCGATTGACTGCCTGTGTGGCTGTCGTTACCATGGCAACCGAAACTTACCAAAAGGAGCAACTTAAAACTAACAGTAAGAAAGCCGAGGAGAAAGAAAACATAGAAAATGGCTTAGATAGTGACAATAAGGCCGGAAGTGATGACGGCGTTTCTGCCAAAAGGAAGCCTCACACTCCTCCAAAACTGGTGAAAGAGGGATCTAGCCCGGAGTTCATATCTTTGCTGAATGATTCAACCAATCAGAGAAGACCCTTGTCATCCAGACGAAACCGCTTTAAACCTGGTAAATAACTGTATTTTTGAGAATCGGTGAACGTACTTCAGACTAAGGTTTTCAATTGGTGTCAATTAGTTACAATTATTTGGGGCTAATTAATTGATTCCCACTTCTTTCCAAGTACTGACTATTGACAAAAATGACCAAATAATTGCAATTAGTTGTAAGTTTTATCTTGGTATTTTTTATAAAATGATGGAAGTGATATCGCTTCTGAGGACGACGTTTCGTCAAACCTTCTGAAAAAGAAGAAATTACAAAAATTCTGCTGACAACGTTTATCATGGCTCGCGTTTGCTGATTTCCGACAGAGTCTTCTGCCGACGAGTCGTGAGATGCAGCAATTTCTGAACGTAGGCCATCAATTTTTGTGAAAAATTGATGCTTCTAAATCCATGAACGATAATCAATAAATTGCAATTAAATGATACTTGAGAGACTTTCAGATTCAATTAACTGACATAAATGGCAAGTAATTAACAGTTAATCTCCCAATTGACTTTTCCCAGACATGTTTCAGACTCCTATGTTGGTCTGATGGTTTTGTTTTGCCATTGCAAGGCCAAACTGTGCACTGGATAGGCGCACAATTTTGTATCTGTATGTTCCTGGATTCTAGAAACTAATCTTTAAACATGATTCAAAATGTAAGCGGATTCCACTTACAAAACTTCCGTGGACATATGAGCGTAACGTAAACTTTGTCGGCACATTTGTCGTGTCGTGGATTCCGCTACAAACCAATATAGCTAGTTGTTTCGGATTCCGCAACTGTAAGTGGATTCCGCAAAACGTGAGCGGAATCCTCAAATGCAAGCAAATTCCGCAAACTGTAAGTGAATTCCGACTTTTGTTCAATGCTGAACTTGCATATGAACAATTAAAAGCTAGAGCTGGAATTCTTATCTCTAGCAATGCGGAATTTAAAAGCAAGGACTTAACCATTGTCAGCGGAATCCACGAACAAGTTTTAAAACATTGCTAAATCGGTGGATGTCATCTTTTAGTGTTTTGGAAACACAACACCGAATAACTTCAATATTTTGAGACATTGATTTGAGAGTTTATGAAAATAAATCACACAGCATATTGCCAAATTAGGTCAGTATTTGAGATTCTAACGATCCCAAATTTATTTGGAGTCATTAGATTGAGAGTGATTAGAAACCCAACGCATACCAAATCGTCGAATTAGTTCTGTATTTGGGATTTCATTAATACCAAACACTGATATAGTAAATTCCTATTTTAGTGATATCAAATCAGGTAATTGAAAAAAAAATAACTTTAAAGGCTACTACATATATACACTATATGTAAACGGAATCCGCATACAAAATGCGGAATCCACTTACAAATTGTGGATTCCACTAACACTTTGCGGACTCCGCTTACAATTGCGGATTCCGCAACAGCTCAATTTAACTATATACATGTCTTATTGTCTGTTTATGGACTCCACAAACTGTTTTCGATTCCGCAAATATGGTTGCGGATTCCGCAAATTCGTCTATTTGGAGCGATTTTGAACGGAACGGTGTTTTAAGTATTTGTTTGTGGAATCCAAAAGAGCAACAAATATCAAAGAAAAGTAGCAATGATGTGGATTCCGCGACAAGTCTGATTTTGACTTGTTGAGGAATCCGCTTACAATGCACAAAATACACAGTTTGCCTTTTGCACAGTTTGGGACAGTTTGGCTCGTAATGTCTGCCTTTTTATATTTTCCACGCAAAATCAGGTACCACATATAGTTATGAGAATAGGTTGAGTGATACATCATACAAAAACATTTCTATTCGTAACTCGACCGACATCAAAAAACTTCTAAATGTTTGTCCCAGTATCCAGAAAAAAAGTCTGATTTTTAATCTAATTTAAAGCGAGTAATGCGAGCGAGCAGGCATACAAAAGAATAATTTTTTGGCGCCATTTTTGATATGTTTGTGTTTTCTTTGTCAATTTTCTACATTTTTTGCCTTTTTTAATATGACTGTCGAAAATTCCTCCGTTCCAGTTTTTGTTCAGATCTTTTTATCACAACAACGCAAAAAATCGACAATAAATTTAAAAAAAAATTATTTTTTACACCATGGTCGGAACATTCTGTGCTTTTTGCACAGTAACCAGCTATCTTTTTTACTACTTGGGTTTTGATTGTTGTTTATTTTGATTAAAACAGGTATTCGAATCTGTACATAAAAGAAGCTTCGAAAATTTTAGCAATTTAGCTCCAGAACATTTACCCGCGCACTGCTGATCAGCTACTGTTTAAAAACAGCATTTGGAACTATAATGGCAGTTTTTCAGAAAAATTTCAGAATGCTAGCAAGGAGAAGGGTGTGATTCAGAAAGTGAAATTAATAGGCATCTATGAGTTACAGTAAAAGCAGAAACAAAAAGTAGAAACAAGGCAATCGAATGAAAGAAGTTTTTGGCCGAGTTTTGAATCATATTTAATTAAAGCAGTTAGTCGGGTCTAGGAAATTAGACGATAAGAAAATTAGACGGATGCTACAACAACGAAATTGGACGAAGTTTTTTTTACAAATCTGGCATTTTAGACGTCGCTACTATGAAAAGGAAAGAGCAACAAAATTCTTTCTTAAAAGTCAAATTTCACAAATACGAAAAGAACATAAAATGACTATACCTATCAAAACAATTAATTTAAATTAAACTTTCGTCTATTTTCTCACAATTGCAGTTTTACAAAATCGTCTAATTTCGTTTTACCACTTTGTTTTCTGTGGAGGTGGAGGTTCAAATATCTCATTTTACTCCACATGCCATCTATTTTCACGTTCTGTAAAATTCTCGGAATTTTTGGCAAAATTAGATTTCGTTTTTCTAGTAGCCCGCTGCTAATATTTGATACATCGGTGGATTTTTTCGATTTCCGAATTCAGTTTAATTTGCTCGTTGTAAATCATTTTTACAGGTTTTGTTGTACCATTTTGGATTTCGCTCAAAAAATTTTGGCGAAATTGTTCATCACCGTTGTACATAAGGTCGGGTTCGTGACTGTGGTTGCCTGATTCTCGAATATTTTTTGGATTTTATAAATTTTTCATCACTCTTCCAAAGCAATCGGAGATAACAAAACGATATAGTGACAACCAAATTTGGTTTTGCTATCATTTTTAAATCTATTACCTTCATCGGTAATAAGATTTTGTCCACCTCGATTTTTCGATGAAACTTTTTTGAAATTTTGCAATTTTAGCTACCGAAATTTAACAGTCTGCGAGCAATTTTATTTTTCTCACGCAGTTTGTCTGCAAACACTTTTAATCTCTCTCACTTTCGTCTATTTTCTCACAATTGCAGTTTTACAAAATCGTCTAATTTCGTTTTAAGTGCCTCCGTCTAATTTGCTCATCGTCTAATTTCCCAACCCCCAGTTAGTCTCATTTTGGTTCAATTTGAAGGCAAGCAAGTTGTAAGCAAATTAATCGTTCACCGCTTAATTCAATCAATTAACCGCCAAAAAGCCTTAATTTGATTGTTTGATCGTAAATAAGTTCACTGTCTACATCAGACCCGTATCCATAACATTTGCCAAATGCTCTATTAAAACGTAAGGTGCGTTCGTGCATATTAGTGCAATTGTGAAAGCCCTAAGGTATAAGTGCAATTTTTTAGTTCAATTGAAGTTCACTTGCTAAATGGTAGGCATAAAGCGCTATCCAATTACGAGTAAGGAAAGGGCGCAAAAAACATGCCCAATTTTTGATGTTGAAAGTGGGACTTAATTCTTAGAGTTCTCAGCAAAATTAAAATTTTATCTGGCACCTCAGTTTCCTCAAATTGAGTTAATTTCATCAAAAAAGTCAATTATAAATTGTTCCTGAAACTCAAAGACCCTTAGGGCCATACAATTTTTTCTTTGAAATTCGAAAATTGAAACTTTTTTTAAAGAGATCAGTTGTTTTTTTTTACTGTTTCTCAGCCTTCCCGGGTTGACCCCCATAGACCGAAAATGTTAATCATATAATTCCATAAACTATGTTCATGAAAAAATACTAGCCATATAAATTCTATACTTTTCCTAGCTTGGTGTCATCGAAAAATCAAACAATTTTTTTCTTGTTTTTACCTACAAGTCGTTGTATCGTAATGAAAAAAGCATTTTTTTTTTTCAAAATTTGCTAATCAAACAATTTCCAATTTTTATGACAAGCTTTTTTGATAGCGACAGCAAAATTTTTTCCAAATAATTTTGAAATTTTTCTAAAAATTTCTTTGGTTTCTTTTACAAAACGAATTTTGTACTCAAACAATTGTTCTCCATAACTTTTTTTTGCATGCAAAATTTATTTTGTTGTGTGCATAACGTAGTCCTGGATACACAAATAGTGGAATTTTGTTCCGTCTCTATATAATTTTTTCGAGAATTCTCAAAAATCTCATTTCTTTGGTATGGCATGTTTATGTACTTTGAAAAGTTTTGCCTAAAATTGAAAAATTTGGTACTTTCCAGTGCATTTTTATTGCAAGTCGCTCATAACTTTGGTGACTCTCGTTTTGAGTATTTTTAAAAAACTAATATTTTAAAATGTTTTAAATTTTTTAAAAAAAATCAAATTTTTGGTTAATTAAAAGTTGCTAGTCATACATTTTCATATATGAACAATCACTAATCATCGACCATTCATGTAATTTTCTATACTTTTGGAATTGCATGAAAATTGTATGACTAGCATTTTTCATATATGAAAATGGTATGATTAGCATTTTTGGTAAACCCGGGTTCATTGAATCTTTTCCAACTGTCTGCTGGTGAAATTTCAATTTTGTTTTTAACTTAGTACCAAGATGAAATAAAGCGCAAATTCTCGCTTCTTCGAATAAAGAGAAAAAGGTTAAGAATTCTCTAAAACGAAACTATTTGACCAAAAAAAACTTGAACCAAAAAAAAATCAAACAAGTTCTGGACTCAAAGATTTGCCTTAGAACACCCAAATTCAGACTAAAGCTATAGTTAAGCCTGCCCTAAAAACCTATCTCTCTCTCGTTTTTATAAAAAGTAAAAGATGTCATACAAGATCTGAAAATACAAATTTTGAGTTGTCAGATATGAAAATAGTTACTTGCTAATTTTTATGCAAATACTCCCTCTGCGGTTCATAGTAAAGAGTTTTCAACCCTGCAAAGTGCTAGTTAAATGGCTAAAGCTTATACAAAATTCGGATCTTGTAAAAATACCCTTTTGCAATAAGGTAAATAATAAGTTATTTTGATCCATTTCAGGTGCTAATCAGAACAAACAACCTGTGGTGATTGACTTGACTGTGGTGGACTTTGCCCTGAGGATGTGTGAACAGTTTTTGAAGGAGAGTGAATTGGAGGATATGGACGAAAAGGACGCCAAGTATGGAGCAGACAGGTACCTAGGGGCGACTGAGAGCGAATGGCATGACTTCACACTCAACTACTACAAACTAGCCCAGTTAGTACTTTTTTACGACCAGAACTTGATCAAAAAAATGTTTGTTAATCTTTTCATGCGAGCTATGCTATCCACTCTTTGCTCTTATAAGCGCGTCTTAAATGATTGACAAATTTCAGATTTTTATCAAAATCAGACCAGCTAAAAAGAAAAAAAACGGCCAAACTCCAGAAATTTTTTTGTACATCAGAGCTGTTTACCAGTTAGCCCACAGAACTAAAATTTCAATTTTTTTAATTAGAAAACTCGAATTGAATTTAAAAGTAATTTTCGTTTTCAGATCGTTACCATTCAATGTTACTTTTTCCTTTTCTCTAACTGAACATTTTGCCCTCTCAGTGAGGCTGCTCAGTTGGCCGACAATGGCAAGGGCTTCTCTACTGCATGTGAGCAGATGCTGGGAAGAGTGAGGAGGGTGCGGGTGATGACAGACGTGGATGGGGTGAAGAATGTGTGGATATGCAAACCAGGCGCACTCTCCCGGGGAAGAGGTGAGTCACAAGAGGTGGTGTCCGGCAAACAAGGCGACGGCTGCTAAATTGCTGTTTGAATCTGTTGGATCAAGCTTGATCATTGCAAAATCAAAGGTCTCCGCAGCCCTGTTTTATAGCAATTTCAGCATTGAAGATTTTCTTAATTATGAACTTAAAATTGAATCACATTTCAGTAAATTACGGAAAAAAAATTACAAAACTGACAGAATATTATTCTTTTTTGTGAAAGTCGTTGAACGTAGTATAGGACGTGATGATTTTAAAATTCTTTTTCAGGAAAAATTTTGAATCGCGATTTGACTTTTATTTTGTTTTTAACATCCTTTCATTTTCTTTGTTAAGAGAAAGGCAAGCTTCACTATCGCACAGCAAAGAGTAAAAGTCACGAAAAATGAGATCCATTTCTAATTTCGAAAGTGAAGTTCAACTTTCAGATTTCCCAGCGGAACAAAAATTTGACTATTGATCCAATTTTTTCAAAATGAGTTAAATTTTCTGAAAAATGTGAAAATAAAATTGTTTTTAAAAATTAAAGAGCTCTAACTTTATAAATTTTTCTCTTTGAAATTGAAACAATGCTTTAAAAATCAATCTGACTGATTTCTGTTATTGAATTTTACAGATGACTGATGGCTTTGTTTTTAGCCTACTATTTTAGTACCACGCCACATGGCAACCACAGCAACTTGTTAAATTTAAAGAGAGCAACAACTCGCAAGGCTTAAAATTATTTTTATAAATAGAATTTTCACTTAAAGTGATGAGTGGCTCCAACTTTTCTTTAAAATCTTACACTCTGCTGACAAGCTCTTAACGCATTGCCACGACTACTGGCAAGTATATTCCCGGGTTGACCTCCATAGACCGAAAATGCTAATCATACAATTTCATACACTTAGTCTATGGAAAAATGCTAGTCATACAAATTTCATACAATTTTGCAAAATGAGTTTAATCGAATTTCAAACGTATTTTATAGTTGTTTTGGTATCGAAATTGGTATCTCTTCATAAAAAAAAGGAAAAAAATAGTATGAAAAAAATGCTAATCATACAATTTCCATATATGGAAATTGTATGATTAGCATTTAGAAAAAAAATTTGTGAAAAAAAGCTTTGAACAATCAATTCAACTGCTGGCAAAACATTTAAGCGTTTTTTGGGCTGCTACAACTGAAAACTTTGACTTTTTTTTATTTTTGTTTTCTGAAAAAAAAAACACTAGTCATACAATTTCCATATATGGAAATTGTATGACTAGCATTTTTTTGATGGCGACAAAAGTATTTTTGAAATTGCCCCCAAAAATTTTTTTTGTGTTTTTTTCAATCGCAAACTGATTTTTGTATTCAAACAAACGTTTTTTGAAAAAAAATTTTGCATGCAAAATTTAATTTTTTGTGTGTATAACGTAGTCCTGGATATACTAATATTGTATTTTTTTTCCTTTTCTCTTCATAACTTTTTTCAAAAACGCTTAAAACTCCTCTTTCTTTTGTATGATATGTTTTTGTATGCCTTGATCAATGTCTGGTAATTTAAAAATTCAAATTTCAGAAATAATCATCTTTGAAAATTATTGCCAAAATTTAAAAGTTCATTACTTTTGTTATATTATTTGTGTGAGACAGAATTAACAAATATAAGGCTGTTTACAATGCATTTTTAATGCGAGACGGCCAAACCTTTGGTTACTACGTTTGAATAATCAAGGTTTATGTCATTTGTGCTCGGTTACGAACACAACCAAAAAAATTTGAGAAATTAAAATGTAAAAAATCAAAATTTTTGGTTTATGGAAAAATGCTAGTCGTACAATTTCCATATATGAAAAAATACTAATCATAGACCTTTCATGCAATTTTCTGTACGTATGGAATTGTATGGAAAGTGTATGACTAGCATTTTTCTATATATGGAAATTGTATGACTAGTATTTTTGGTCATCCCGGGTTGCAAATTGTCTTTTGATAGGAGTTGTTGTCTATTATTGCTAGTTCTATTTTGTTGCGAGTTGTCGTCTTATGATTGGATCTGCGAGCTCCATGATACATTAAGTAAACTATGAGTCAAAGGACAGCCAAAATTCTTACTTTTTCATTAATTAGCTCAAGTTCTGAAAAGTTTTTGTTCTATGTTCGAAAATTTTCTAGCTCCAGAAACATTTTGTTTAAGGTTCAATTAAATGACCACTTGAAGCCTGTCTGAAAATAAAATTTCTTTACGGTCCTACGAACTATATATAAAATATAGCTTGTATCATTTATGACTGCTTGTTTCAAGAGCATCGTTGATTTTTCTGAAAGCACTCTAACGTGTTTTATCTAAGTTTTTCAAAAATATCCTTCAGTAGAAATTTCAAAGAAAAAGTCAAAAAAAGAATCTTCTTTGATTTATTTTTTTAAATTTCTTTACAAACAACCTGAATTTTAAAACAGTAAAATTTGGGCTAATTTTTGACATAATATTTTGCCTCAAATTAAGTTTGTGAGCAAGCTAGAGTAATTTATAGTCTATGCTGCACATTTTTAGAAAAAATGAAAATCTTGTGCGTAGCCAACAATTTTTCAACTTTAAACTTACAAAAAAGTCGCAGGTGAAATATCCTAAAATTTCAAGATTTTTCCAAAAAAAATCATACCAAGAGATTTTTAAACTTCGTACGTAGAATTTTCCATCCTTTTTTAGGAATGAAATGATGAAGAATTAGATTGGTCTTTTCTGAAGGAAAAATGCGGCCAATTTTCTTGCCTAATCATCATGTTTTTACTTCATCCAATGACACTTTCATCTTCCTATTCAGAGGGAAATTATACAGTAACCTTGTGTTGATTTTTTAGCTTTAAAAATCTAACTTTTATCAATTCTTTGATTTGAACGTGTTCTATTATTCAGTAATTTTGTTAGATTTTAAAGGGACCGGATGCTTATCGGTTTTTTGTCCGCATTTCCAGGCAAAACAAAGTAAACAATCTACCTCAAATGCGACCTACTTCTTGTTTTTAACATTAAAACGAAGCTTATGATTACAATAGTAAAAAAAATTAAACCGTACTGGTATTTAAAAAGTTGGAAAAAATAAGTTAAGCTTAAAATTAGTGTAGTATCTGTACATTTTGAAAAAAATTCAACATATGGACACAAAACAAGAGGTGTTTCTAATATGCAATACTTGTTACAAAAAAGATCGTAAGAGATCCCGGCTCTTTTCCAGTTCCCCCCTTTCAAATTCAATTTTGAAAATCTTTTTTACGTTGTCACAATTATGAACGTTGTCATAATGCAATGAAATTTGGGGTGGTGAACAAATCGACAACTGTGAACAGATTTGTTTTTCATACTTTACAGCGTAACATCACACATAAAGTCGTAATAACACGTAAAACAAACATAAAATTCGGTATTTTGAACGGGGGGAAGTGGAAAAGAGCCGAGATCCCGAGTCTGATCCATGAGTATCTCTTTAGGTATCACCTGTCAATCGTATCTGCCTAACATACTAGCCATGGTGTCCCACTCTCCCAACCCAGTGGAGAAGGAGGGCAAAATAGTGGTGCAGAAGTACCTGGAGAAGTGTCAACTCATCTACGACACCAAGTTCGACATCCGACAGTGGTTCCTCGTCACAGAATGGAACCCCCTGACAGTCTGGTTCTACAAGGAGTGCTATATAAGACTGTGCTCACAGCTTTACTCTTTAGACAATTTAGACAGGTCAGTTTTTTTAGTTTTTGTTGAACCTCTGTTCTAAATAAACATCATATTTCACTGAGCGAATTTCAGTTTTAAAAAATGATAATCGAAACAGTATGCAAACAGTTCCAAATTTCCACGTGGAAAACAAACGCGATCGCCGAAAATTCTAGAGAAATTTACATTTTTATATTTGTTTTGTTTTTTGCACTACCAAGAATTGTTCCCGTGAGAAAACTATTTGTGATTTTTCAGTGGTGCTCATCTATCGAACAACTCCATCCAAGCTTACTTCAAAAACGACAAGAACAGATCTGAAAAGCTGCCAGAGGAAAACATGATGTCGTCGGGACAGTATGCCAAGTACCTGAGGTCACTTTCTATTCCTTTGGTTTATATCACGAAATTTGTAATTTCTGAAATCTCTTTTCAAAAAGCTGATTCATTAGCTCACAAAAATTAGATTCTTTCACGGAGAAAAATAAGTTATTCATGCACAAAAAGCTTTTGACGGGGTTGGTTTATGGACAACTTATCAACCATTTATTTAGCAACGACGAGTATATTGTACCAATTTTATCACAAAAGGGTTTTAATTGTGTTTTGGGAGAGCTCGAAAAATCATTTTGGTCGACCTAAAAAAGGTAGGAAAACCTCCATACTTTTGAACACCCCTCCCCCCTCGACCGGGAGAATCTTGGATTCGCACTTCATTTTGACTCAAGTAGCGTTTCAGCGAGCAAGGACATGGTGATGTCTACTATGAGAAGATGTACCCCCGGATGAAGGATATCATCTCATGGACTATGCAATGCTGTCAAGAGAGCATGGACACAAACAAGGTGGGTAGCACATCTCCAAGTTATCTCGCTATGTTCACACTTTGCACACTTATGTTTAGACTGTGTACATTTTGAACTAGGTTGCGACTATGACTTTTCGATCCAAACAAAGATCGATTCAAACTTAACAAGTCTGAACAAAAAACCACGACCTCGACCCGGGATGCAACGACAACAAAAATCCTCTCAACACTTCTCCGCATATTTTTTTTGTAGGCTTACGAGTAAGGAAGCACCTCGAAGTAGAAAAATATAGCCATCTTACAACACATACAATACATGGACGATAGACCTAAGAACCAAAAAGAAGGGCTCAACACATTCCAAAAACTTTGAGCAACGACCTTTTTGAGCAAACTGATTGTGCGAGCAACGGAAGAACTCTATAAAACCTTCATTTCAGATTTAGACAAAATTTTTAGCGCCGCAGGCGAATTTTTGAAAAACGGGTCAAACTGTCGATTTTGGGCACTTTTTGGAAAGTTTTGGCCAAAAGATTGCCGTTTTTTGGCGCGCGCTCCCCTTAAAATTTAGTATATATTGGCTCCCTTGATAAAAAAAACTATTTGCAACTTTTAGGTTGTTTTTCTGCGCTTGACAATGTTTCCACATAGTCTTAAGTAACTAGTAGGGAAAATATTTAAGTGTTTTTACAGGGCTGCTACGAGCTGTATGGGGCTGACTTTGTGGTGGGTGCTGATCTGAGTGTGTGGCTGATAGAGATCAACTCCAGTCCCGCCCTCTCACCTTCTACTGAGATCACGAGGAGGATGTGCGCCCAGGTGCTGGAGGACACAGTCAAAGTGGTGATTGACAAAAGGGAGAACAAATTGGCAGATACAGGGAGATTCGAGCTGGCCATTAAGCAGGTGAGTAAACTGGCCCTTCTTATTTTTCCCCATTCGTAAACGATACAAAAGAAGGCCTTACTAAAAAGTCAGTTTTCTGGGGCACAATCCAAAAAAACTTTCTATTTAGCTTAAAGCTTAAAACAAAATTGATATAGACAGAGAAGAGAGTACAGAAAAAAAACTGAGCAAAGGTTTGACAAAAGCAAAGGAGATAAGCGTAGATACATTACAAAAAAAAACAACCTCAGAATCATTTTTTTTCTCAAGTTTAAACCGTTTTTGTACGTGACGTGATGAACTACACAAAAACTTCTAACCTAAATAAAATAAAATCAACAATGGTTTTTGACAATATTTGAATGTAATGTCAAAACAAACAGCAGCTTTAATTTTTTTGCTGATTTTTATAGAAAACATTTTATTGTCACGGACCTGCTGTTCGAAATTGCAACTTCCAAAAGTTTTAACTTCGAAATATAAATTTCTTATTGAAACGTATTCGCTCATTTATTTTTCTAAATTAAACAAAAAATCCAAACCACCTTAATCGATACTAAAAAAAATTCAACGATTTTAATGTCGGTTGCTTATGACTGAAAGAGCTTCAATATTCGCTTTCACAAACATGTAAGTCAAAATGACCACTTGGTTGAATCTACATGCTGCTAAAAATGAAATTATCATAAAAAATTATAAATCAACAACTACAATTTTAGTTTTTTGTATATTTTCTCAGCTTTCCGTTTAACTTGCTCCAATTATTACAACAATTACTTGTTACAGGTTTCTTTATCCACTTTGGTTGTAGAAGCCTACTTTGTTTTATCTAATTTGTGCCTTCGTTTAAGTTTACATATACTCTTTTTATAGATAAATTGCCTACAAATTTTCATTTTTCTAAATATTTTTTGCCACATTGAACATTCTAGTCAAGCTATGTTGGGTAATGAATAGTTCGGCTGGTAAAACTTTAAAGTTTAAAAGTAGATAACATTCATGATCATACTTCCTGCGGAGATACCACGCACTCTGGTTTCCCAGCTAATTGTTTCGACTTTCGATACGAAAGTGACGGAATATTTGTGCTCGGGGTGGGTTCTTTTTTCTTCAGACAAATTTCGACTTTTTAACTAGCCATTTTGACGGGATGTTTTTATATCATTCGAAAGATATTGTTGTCTTGAGCTTAAATTTGAAAAGATATTTCAGCAGTGATCAATTTTTGTAAAGTAATGGGCGTTTAAAGATTGCCATTTCTGCCAATTTGGGACAGTTAACGCGCGATATATTTCGCGCTATTAACGCGTAAGCGGAGATTTAATCCGCCTTAGAAATCGTTCCAAATTGGTTGAAAGAAGCTTATTTGACATAATTGATTTGTTCATGTCAGGACAAAAAATACCACAAAAAAAGCTCCATGACAAAATATACCGTACCAAAAGATCCCTTGTACAAAATCGCCCATACCATAGGATCCCATGCCAATTTAAAAAGATTCCATGAATTATGAATAAAAATCATGATCATAGTGTCAGCAGAAATAAATCTAGAGTAATGATATCTCAATTAGGTTCGCGCTATTAAAGAACAACGCAAATGTTAGATAACTTAATTTAAACTGGGCTCATTTTTGGGATTAACATAGTGCCAGCATGCGTTTAAAGATTGCCATTTCTGCCAATTTGGGACAGTTAACGCGCGATATATTTTGCGCTATTAACGCGTAAGCTGAGAGTTAATCCGTCTTAGAAATCGTTCCAAATTGGTTGAAAGAAGCTTATTTGCCTTAAGTAATTTGATACAAGGAGCGAAATCTATCCTTTTGTACTTTATATGGCGTGTGGGGGGATGTTTTTTATTTAAAAAATTTAAATTTTTGAAAAATAAATTTTTTCATTTTGTTTTATTTCATTTAACTTTTTTTATGCTATACTGCTCCATAAACCTTAAAAGGCAGTCGGAACATTCAGGGCTTCGCCCTGATACGGGCCGTCTTGTTTGTCTTTTTATTTTAATCTGCTAATTTTGTCTGAGATATTTCATAAATATTTTCACAAATTGGCCCATAATTTTGTCTTGCTAGAAGTTTATGTTTCATGTGGAAACATAAAATGGTCTTTGATGAAAGGCAGTTCTTGATGGTCTTAAATGATGTATCACTAGACTTGTATTGATAATTATTTGTAGTACCTGATTTTGCGTAAACAACAATTTTTTAAAAAGAACTCGCCTGAAGACCTCTAAACTTTCAGAGGTGGGTACACAAACTATTTCACAGCAACGGCTTTTGTAACTGAAATGGAACGTTGGAGTTCTTATTGTTTCCTTGTGTCTTAAGTGAACTGTCTTATCTTATTTTTAAACACTACCCATATTGAGTGTAGCCTTGGGTTTTTAAAAAAATATTAATGAAATACCCGCACCTAAGAAGAGTGAAAATAAATCATTTATAAAGATTTTGCTTAAATTTATCAATAAAATCAATTCCCATGTTGAAATCAGACAACCGAATGGAATAAAAAACCAAATTCTAAAACAATTGACAATTGTGATCCATTTAACATGGACTTTTTCCACTTTAATTTCAATTCGCGTCGTGCAAAACGTTGCGAGATTTTCTGTATTTATCAAAAGAGTAATGCGGAAATTTTGCAAAGCGAGTTCATGGCCTACTTGATTTATACATCGAAACTTTCTCAAATTGCAAAAGCTATCCGTTAAACTCTCACCCCCCCCCCCCCCCAACTTTTGCCCTTTGCCCCTTACAACCCCCACCCGAACGTTTGCCCCTTTGCCCCTTTCCCGCCACCCCCACTTGGCCACCTGAAACACCTGAACCACCTGAAGCATATTTTTTGTAAGAAGTACTATTGCTCAAAATTTTACAATTTGAGATAAACATTGCAATGATTGACACGTTCTATTTCATGCCTTGGAAATTCTACAACTCAAAGAGCATGACTTTCTTTTGCTTACATACAATGGTTGATCGATCATAAGTTCCAAATTTTGGTTTTCTTTTTTATTAACTTGTTTTTAAAACAAAAACAAGGAGTTTTAAAAAGATGTCGAGTGTCTCTGATTTGGAGATCGAAAGGAACAGCATGTCATACACAGAGCTCAGATACAGTTACACATTACGTCGCCAATCCGTGTTATTTGGTTTTTGCGGAATCGGTGCCAAAAAGGCACTTCTAAGGTTGATATAGCATGAGTAATGCTATCAAACTTCGTTCTGAATTGCATCATTCCTTTTTTGCATCCCTAAAAATTGGTTTTGCGTTACTGTAAACAAACAATTCATGTCGCATTATTGGTTTGACGTTTGAATTGTTATAGTTCAACATCACTTGTTTCGATTTTTTGCAGGATTTCATTCCTCAACCTGTGTACTGTGGCCAAAACCTACTCATAGAGGGAGCTCAAGTCAAAAAGCCTGGAACTGCAAATCATATCCCAATACAAAGGTCAGTTAGGCGCCGTCTGTTATATAGGTCAAAAATACTCACATTATATAGATACTATAATCCGGATCTAATTAACAATCCCCCCACCCCTATATCTACTCAAGAATCTCCACTCCTTTAAATAAAATAAAATAATACTTAACTATTTGTTATTATTATTATTAATCCCGCCAAGTCGGATTCTCTTCGGTAATTTAGCGAGCAAATTTATATACTCTATGCTGTTATCGTTAAAGCTCACGCGATTCGTACTGAATTGAAAAATAGATTTAATTTTTGGAGATTCTTAAGGAGATTGGCCTTCAAATAATAGTGCATTTTCAGATCAACAACAGAAGGAAGCAATATGAGCCACAAGGTTCACGAAATGAACCCCAAACTTAAACCCAAAGTCAAGCTGAAGTCTAACCCTCCTCGCCAAGTTTTCACTTCGGTAAACATAGCCGAGCTTCACTCGTTCCGGTGTCCTCCCTCGCCGAATAACGATCCACTTTTCAACGAGAGTCTAGTTTACGACAGGCCAGGTAAGAAACTAACGACTAAAGCACACCAAATCTGTAGACAATTGGATCTGAAAACAAACTTTGATACTTCGGCAAACTTTTCAACTATAAGTAAAAGCAAAGACAACGAACGAAGTAAACTCAACCCGAATGGACGATCAGTAAACGAGCGACAAGCAGACTTACGACACCTTGCGAGCTACAATTTCGACAATCCTAATTTGAGACCTCAGTCGCGAGTAAAAGATACGAGTTTGGAACTTGAACGAAAACTGCTCAGAAGTCAGGGCCTAAATTTAGACAGTATGCATGGTCAATCTACGTCGAGAACTGTCAAAAGTTTTAATTTAATTACTGATAGAAGTACTTCGGTGCCGAGACGAAAAGCTCAAAAAAGTCAACAAAGTGGTTCCTCTGATACTGATGAGCCGAAAGTTCCGTACGGGAAGATCATAACACAACGCCAGAAAGAAGCTGTTCATAAGATATACGGATCCAAGATGACAAAAAACCAAACCGAATATACTCAAAGTATAGACTATTTAAAAACTCCTAAATTACAAGCAAGTGCAAAGCAATCTTTTTATTATTTGAATCAGAACAACCAAACAGTATTCTCTAATTAGATTCTATTTTCACAGAAGGTTTTTATTAAGAATCGAGCGATATTTGTGGACCAGTTCTGCATCGTACAAAACTTGTTAAAAAATTCTCAATTTTTCAAGAATGATAATTTTTCCCCAATAAAATCTTATTTGTTGGAAAGTGATTTCTTCTTTATTTTCAAGTTTTAATTATTCTTCATTTTTTTTTCAATTATTTTATCAATCTATCTCATACTTTGGAATTTTGATTTCGATTGATTTTTTTGTTTCACTAATAACAAGCACGGGCGGATCCAGGATTTTCTGGAGGGGGGACGGGGAGCGAAAACTTTTATTTAGGTCAATCAAATCCGAGCTCTCCCAAACCACTAAGATCCCTATTTTCGGCAAATGTTCTGCGGCCTAAACAGGCCTTTTTAGGCACCTTTTGGAATATTTTGACCAAAAAATCGCGCTTTTTCGGCGCGCGCTCTCCCTAAAATTAGTGTAATATTGGCGCCAAAGGCGTCTTTAGAAAAACTTTAGGGTACGTCACCAAAAATGGATATCTTAAAAAAGTACAAAAAAACTCACCCCCGCCCCCTAAATCCGCCCCTGAGAACAAGTTTTATTTTTTATTTTTTTATCAGAATGAAAAATAGCATACTTCTCAAACTGGGTTAATTGAATCAGAAAAATCGATCTTTAGTTCTACTCAAAATTATTTGTGCCATGAGTATTAAAGCAGGTCAAGTAAGTTGTTTCTTTTTCGTAATCGAAAATAAAAACATGGAACCGAAATCAAAATTTAGTTAGAGTTCTTTTTTTTAGTTGATCAGCCAGAGGTATAACTCAGAGGGTAATTAATTAAGAATAACTGAGCTACCTTACAAGAACTCAATTTGTAAAAAATTGAAGCCTATGCGTGATTTCAGCCCACAGGTTTTTTATTGCTTAGGACCAATCACTACCGATGCACCACAACACCACGAACTGTCTGTGAGCCATATTAATGCTTGTTTCGAGGAAAATGAATTAAATTTGGTTGATATTTTTTCAAAGCTTACAAGAAAATTGTTGTCGGTATTTTTGAAGTTTGCACATCTGACATTTCTTCAAAATTTTATGGACCATAAGTTTTAATGGTTCATCTCTTCTTCTAAAAAATTTTTTCCAGCCGTCGTTTAAAAAGTTATTCAATGGCTAGAACTGCAAATATTTTAAGCCTGCTTATGTTGACAATAGGAATTGGTCAGAAGTTACTTTTTAACTCAGCCAAAAATCTTTACAAACAAAGCTTCTTTGCTGTAACAATCTTATCATGAAGATTTCAGGGTTAACTCTTAAAATGACATTTGTTGCTCAAAACTAAGAGTAGAATTTTATTCTATAATGTAAAAAGTAAAAAACAAATTTTTTTTTGGTTTTTAGGGCTAAAATATACTTGGCAAATCTGCATCTCCCAAAGAAAAATATATCAGAGTTGGTGATAAGTATTTTAAAATGAGAAAAAAAAACTTTGAAAAGTAGCGGAAAAAATATTTGAGAGAAAACATGTCAAAATCAGTGAAAAATTTTTAAGTTTAAACATCAACAAGACTGCTTGTATCAGAGCGACGCTATGAATGTTCCGAATGCCTTTCAAGGTCTGTGGAGCAGTAATACATGACAAAGAAATAAATGTAATAAAATAAGATTAAATCTTTAAACCCTCATAACTTACGAAAAACAATCACAGATAAAATACCTTTTCAAATTTAAGCTCAAGACAGCAATAGCTTTCGAATGATATTTTAAAAATTCTGTCAAAAATGGCTAGGTAAAAAATCGAAATTTGTCTGAAGAAAAAACCGAACCCGAGCACAATTATTCCGTTACTTTCGTTACGAAAGTCGGAACAACAAAACTGATTTGACCGAAATTTATCTCAAACAAGATCAACCGTACAATCTCAACCCCCCGCCTCCCCTAAGCATGACTTAACCTAGAATACTCTCCCCAATCATGTAATAATTCTGGAAAAAAAAAATCTGTATAGAATATGTATTTCATATAAATGCGCAAATATAACTGATTTTCACATTTTTATGCGGTATTTTATTTGTATGCTCTTAATTACACAAATTAATGTCAAATTTTTTTTAGTTATGCAGTTAATTTTGAAAGAATCTAGACTACACTCAAAGTTAGTTTATGAAAAATCCATATTGTCTCCCCCCTAAATTGATTCTGGGGGAAAATTGTACGGTTGATCCATCAAACGAAAAAATATGTTGAAGCTTTTTGGGAGGTTCTTTCAGATTTTTGATTTTTTGTTTTTTATTTTTGAAGCGAGACATAGCTCAAAACTGTATGGTTTTCGACCGCCAAAATCATGAAGAAAAATTAATATCAGGAGGAGTCGTTTTTGTCATTCACGCTAGTTATAAATTAACGTCAGATTGCATCAAGAGGTACATAGTTTTGAACTTCGTTCAGTCGTAAAATCAGCTGCTTTTTACAAATTCAAAAAAACAACAATCGTACTAGTTTTTGAATGAGCAGGAAAAGTGAAGGAAGAGTCTTCACGAGAAGGGTTACTATTAAGAAAGTCTTAACAAAACCAGACACCGAAAAAAATTACATCTACAAAGATAAGGGCTCCACAAAGTTTTGATGAAAAAACTTTGGTGAACTACTATAAATTTTGTATTATCAAATATTTAACGCTACAATTTGAATTGTACGGAAATACTATGACCAATTTAGTTTTATTCAATTTAATTTGGAGCGATTGTTCACCACGCATTAGAATTTTGCGTGTTGGAAGTACTATAATTCTAAAGAACAGGATCCAACAGCCGTTTGTCAGGCAAATGCGCTTGAAAATATGTGGAATTTTTTTGGTAACTTCAGTTTATTGCTTTTTGAGACGTTTACTTTTATACTTAAATCTCTTGAGTTAGTCTACCACCAGCAGCGCAAGATGCGCAAAACACTAACAATGACCTGCCGTGCAACAGATGCAAGTTATATTTATCTATTTGAGTTTAAGGAAATGACAGTTTTTCAAAATTTAAATTCATGAGCCAATCATTTTTTGTAATTTAATATTTTGCTTTCAAGATTTATTGTAACAGTCGTAAGTTTTCACCAGAGCGATGGCAGACGTATGCAAACGCTTATTCTGCTGCGCTTCAATGTGGAACTAATGAAATAGTTCAGGTCAGTTAGCGTTTTGATATTTTTTTGTTCCATTTTTTGAATAAATAGTCGGAATAATCATGCTTGGGGCGTTTTTTACAAAAACCTTTTGACAATTTTGGATGCCATTAAGAGAAATACTGTTTTCTTGAGCTCAATTGAGAAAATTTCAACTGTGATTTTTTTGTCTCGACTTTTGAAGAAAAAACCTAAAATCTTTGTTTGGGGTGCTTTTTAATTTTTTTATTAGTCTGTTATTCTAAGCAATTTTGACGGAAATTTCTTTTAGCAACTACAGGAGTCGATCTGAAATTTTTGTCGACCTTTTCATTAGGTCGACCAAATTGATTTTCTGAGATCTCCCAAATCACTATAAAGACCCCATTTTGACCAAATTTTCAGAAAAAAGGCCACAAAAGGCTCTTTTTAAGCACTTTTTGAAGAATTTGGACCAAAAATGCGTTTTTTTGGCGCGCTATTCCCCTCAAATGTAGTATATTTTGGCGCCAAAGACACCTTTAAAAAAATTTTAGGTCCGTGAGTCAAAAATTGATGTCATATAATAGTACTAAAGGGGAACCTTTGGGTCGGCAGGGGGTCGAATCCCTCAGGAAGTAAAAGTCGTGTTGTGTCGTTTTTTGCAAGTGATGTGATAAAAGGATTTGAACAAAAGCTTAGAACTAGAATCTTTTGGTTGTAATAGTAAATTAAGTTTCTTTGAGAACAATTTTGATTAGAAAAAAAACAATCAAAAAATTTCTACTATTTTGATGTTTAATTTTAAATTATATTTCAATGTTCAATTTTTACGGTTTTTTCTACTTGTTTTAGTTTCAATTTCAACTTTTGAAAATAACTGATGTCAATTTTGCCTAACTTGACAGTTTTATACGCGTTTATACATGAATGTGGTACTTGTTTAAGCAACTATTTAAATTTTTTCAGAAAAAATTACAATGGTTCAAACTTCGTTCTAAAAATTTCATTGCCAGGGAAGCGATAAAAGCTTGAAATTAGAATAAGTCTCAAAAATTTCAAACCTTTCTTTCTCGACAATTTTTTGAACAAATTCTGGAACAAATTTTTGAAAAAAAAACTGCTCAAATTACGACTTAAAGTGCTTTAATATGGTATATCACTCGATTGGTTCTGTTGACTATTTATGGTACCTGATTTTTATGGAAAGCCAAAACGAGAGAAAACTCAAACACACACTAACACAAAATTTCTCCTCATTTTCAATGATCGCAACAAAAAATGGGAAAAGACGATGATGAAAAATTAAACTCTTGATTTGTTTTACCTTGAAATCCCAGCTTCAAAACAAGGATAGTCGGTTGCTGTGCAATCACATTCTCAGAAATTTTATCTATTAAGTGTCCTTTTTGTACGTCGTGTGATGATAGAGCTAAAAATTTAACGCGTAATTATTTTTGAAAGATTTTTTTACCAGAGAAGCGATATATAAGGCATCCAAAATTATGTTTTTTGCTTTAGTAAAGTTATAGATTTTCAGCCTAAAATTTCACGCTTAACGAACGTTACTTGATCAGCTTACTCGCTCGAAAAAAAAAGAATACTCAGAAATTTCAATCTGGTTTTTCCCAACACTGGACATTATTGGACATTTTAATACAGTCGTTCGGATTCCGACTGAAAGGGCTTTAAAATGATATATTTTTCAACCCAATCAGATGATTATTTGTGTTTCCTAATTTTAGGTAGAAAAAATCAAAACACACACTTATACGAAGTTCCTCCCCATTTTCAATGGTCGGGACAACCAGAAGCTTGCTGCTGATGAAATAAAATCTCTTGGAATCACTTTTTCCAGCAAAACTGGTGCATGGTTTTTGTTAAGAAAAAAAAATATTAGCCTTATATGTTTGTTTTTTGTTTCAGCTGAAAAATTTGAATTTGAATAAAAATTGGAGGCATGACATTTTTTTGAAAAAAATCAATCACATCAATTTATCTTGGAATTTATGGCATTTGATGGAAGTATTCTATAAGTCATATAAAAAAAACAAAATGCAGTTCGGCCAACTGGACGAGGTTTGTCACAGAAGTGTTCTAGGTGCTGAGTAATTTTTGTAATCCTGACGATGATTATGAAGTTTAAACTTCTTAGTTAGTCCGTCTCGTAATTTTTTAAGCTTAAAAAGAACAGAAAAAAGACATAGTTTTTCTTATTTTTGCGGACTAACTTTTTCATTTCTTTTTATATTAAAAAAAACTTATATGAGAGTATCAAACGGACACTTGAATTCCAATCACTGAAACTCCTTTGTGCTGTCTGCAGATGTACCGTAGCTCTCGATTCCAGAACCACTTTCCGACATGATTCATTTCAGATTTAGACAAAATTTTTAGCGCCGCAGGCGAATTTTTGAAAAACGGGTCAAACTGTCGATTTTGGGCACTTTTTGGAAAGTTTTGGCCAAAAGATTGCCGTTTTTTGGCGCGCGCTCCCCTTAAAATTTAGTATATATTGGCTCCCTTGATAAAAAAAACTATTTGCAACTTTTAGGTTGTTTTTCTGCGCTTGACAATGTTTCCACATAGTCTTAAGTAACTAGTAGGGAAAATATTTAAGTGTTTTTACAGGGCTGCTACGAGCTGTATGGGGCTGACTTTGTGGTGGGTGCTGATCTGAGTGTGTGGCTGATAGAGATCAACTCCAGTCCCGCCCTCTCACCTTCTACTGAGATCACGAGGAGGATGTGCGCCCAGGTGCTGGAGGACACAGTCAAAGTGGTGATTGACAAAAGGGAGAACAAATTGGCAGATACAGGGAGATTCGAGCTGGCCATTAAGCAGGTGAGTAAACTGGCCCTTCTTATTTTTCCCCATTCGTAAACGATACAAAAGAAGGCCTTACTAAAAAGTCAGTTTTCTGGGGCACAATCCAAAAAAACTTTCTATTTAGCTTAAAGCTTAAAACAAAATTGATATAGACAGAGAAGAGAGTACAGAAAAAAAACTGAGCAAAGGTTTGACAAAAGCAAAGGAGATAAGCGTAGATACATTACAAAAAAAAACAACCTCAGAATCATTTTTTTTCTCAAGTTTAAACCGTTTTTGTACGTGACGTGATGAACTACACAAAAACTTCTAACCTAAATAAAATAAAATCAACAATGGTTTTTGACAATATTTGAATGTAATGTCAAAACAAACAGCAGCTTTAATTTTTTTGCTGATTTTTATAGAAAACATTTTATTGTCACGGACCTGCTGTTCGAAATTGCAACTTCCAAAAGTTTTAACTTCGAAATATAAATTTCTTATTGAAACGTATTCGCTCATTTATTTTTCTAAATTAAACAAAAAATCCAAACCACCTTAATCGATACTAAAAAAAATTCAACGATTTTAATGTCGGTTGCTTATGACTGAAAGAGCTTCAATATTCGCTTTCACAAACATGTAAGTCAAAATGACCACTTGGTTGAATCTACATGCTGCTAAAAATGAAATTATCATAAAAAATTATAAATCAACAACTACAATTTTAGTTTTTTGTATATTTTCTCAGCTTTCCGTTTAACTTGCTCCAATTATTACAACAATTACTTGTTACAGGTTTCTTTATCCACTTTGGTTGTAGAAGCCTACTTTGTTTTATCTAATTTGTGCCTTCGTTTAAGTTTACATATACTCTTTTTATAGATAAATTGCCTACAAATTTTCATTTTTCTAAATATTTTTTGCCACATTGAACATTCTAGTCAAGCTATGTTGGGTAATGAATAGTTCGGCTGGTAAAACTTTAAAGTTTAAAAGTAGATAACATTCATGATCATACTTCCTGCGGAGATACCACGCACTCTGGTTTCCCAGCTAATTGTTTCGACTTTCGATACGAAAGTGACGGAATATTTGTGCTCGGGGTGGGTTCTTTTTTCTTCAGACAAATTTCGACTTTTTAACTAGCCATTTTGACGGGATGTTTTTATATCATTCGAAAGATATTGTTGTCTTGAGCTTAAATTTGAAAAGATATTTCAGCAGTGATCAATTTTTGTAAAGTAATGGGCGTTTAAAGATTGCCATTTCTGCCAATTTGGGACAGTTAACGCGCGATATATTTCGCGCTATTAACGCGTAAGCGGAGATTTAATCCGCCTTAGAAATCGTTCCAAATTGGTTGAAAGAAGCTTATTTGACATAATTGATTTGTTCATGTCAGGACAAAAAATACCACAAAAAAAGCTCCATGACAAAATATACCGTACCAAAAGATCCCTTGTACAAAATCGCCCATACCATAGGATCCCATGCCAATTTAAAAAGATTCCATGAATTATGAATAAAAATCATGATCATAGTGTCAGCAGAAATAAATCTAGAGTAATGATATCTCAATTAGGTTCGCGCTATTAAAGAACAACGCAAATGTTAGATAACTTAATTTAAACTGGGCTCATTTTTGGGATTAACATAGTGCCAGCATGCGTTTAAAGATTGCCATTTCTGCCAATTTGGGACAGTTAACGCGCGATATATTTTGCGCTATTAACGCGTAAGCTGAGAGTTAATCCGTCTTAGAAATCGTTCCAAATTGGTTGAAAGAAGCTTATTTGCCTTAAGTAATTTGATACAAGGAGCGAAATCTATCCTTTTGTACTTTATATGGCGTGTGGGGGGATGTTTTTTATTTAAAAAATTTAAATTTTTGAAAAATAAATTTTTTCATTTTGTTTTATTTCATTTAACTTTTTTTATGCTATACTGCTCCATAAACCTTAAAAGGCAGTCGGAACATTCAGGGCTTCGCCCTGATACGGGCCGTCTTGTTTGTCTTTTTATTTTAATCTGCTAATTTTGTCTGAGATATTTCATAAATATTTTCACAAATTGGCCCATAATTTTGTCTTGCTAGAAGTTTATGTTTCATGTGGAAACATAAAATGGTCTTTGATGAAAGGCAGTTCTTGATGGTCTTAAATGATGTATCACTAGACTTGTATTGATAATTATTTGTAGTACCTGATTTTGCGTAAACAACAATTTTTTAAAAAGAACTCGCCTGAAGACCTCTAAACTTTCAGAGGTGGGTACACAAACTATTTCACAGCAACGGCTTTTGTAACTGAAATGGAACGTTGGAGTTCTTATTGTTTCCTTGTGTCTTAAGTGAACTGTCTTATCTTATTTTTAAACACTACCCATATTGAGTGTAGCCTTGGGTTTTTAAAAAAATATTAATGAAATACCCGCACCTAAGAAGAGTGAAAATAAATCATTTATAAAGATTTTGCTTAAATTTATCAATAAAATCAATTCCCATGTTGAAATCAGACAACCGAATGGAATAAAAAACCAAATTCTAAAACAATTGACAATTGTGATCCATTTAACATGGACTTTTTCCACTTTAATTTCAATTCGCGTCGTGCAAAACGTTGCGAGATTTTCTGTATTTATCAAAAGAGTAATGCGGAAATTTTGCAAAGCGAGTTCATGGCCTACTTGATTTATACATCGAAACTTTCTCAAATTGCAAAAGCTATCCGTTAAACTCTCACCCCCCCCCCCCCCAACTTTTGCCCTTTGCCCCTTACAACCCCCACCCGAACGTTTGCCCCTTTGCCCCTTTCCCGCCACCCCCACTTGGCCACCTGAAACACCTGAACCACCTGAAGCATATTTTTTGTAAGAAGTACTATTGCTCAAAATTTTACAATTTGAGATAAACATTGCAATGATTGACACGTTCTATTTCATGCCTTGGAAATTCTACAACTCAAAGAGCATGACTTTCTTTTGCTTACATACAATGGTTGATCGATCATAAGTTCCAAATTTTGGTTTTCTTTTTTATTAACTTGTTTTTAAAACAAAAACAAGGAGTTTTAAAAAGATGTCGAGTGTCTCTGATTTGGAGATCGAAAGGAACAGCATGTCATACACAGAGCTCAGATACAGTTACACATTACGTCGCCAATCCGTGTTATTTGGTTTTTGCGGAATCGGTGCCAAAAAGGCACTTCTAAGGTTGATATAGCATGAGTAATGCTATCAAACTTCGTTCTGAATTGCATCATTCCTTTTTTGCATCCCTAAAAATTGGTTTTGCGTTACTGTAAACAAACAATTCATGTCGCATTATTGGTTTGACGTTTGAATTGTTATAGTTCAACATCACTTGTTTCGATTTTTTGCAGGATTTCATTCCTCAACCTGTGTACTGTGGCCAAAACCTACTCATAGAGGGAGCTCAAGTCAAAAAGCCTGGAACTGCAAATCATATCCCAATACAAAGGTCAGTTAGGCGCCGTCTGTTATATAGGTCAAAAATACTCACATTATATAGATACTATAATCCGGATCTAATTAACAATCCCCCCACCCCTATATCTACTCAAGAATCTCCACTCCTTTAAATAAAATAAAATAATACTTAACTATTTGTTATTATTATTATTAATCCCGCCAAGTCGGATTCTCTTCGGTAATTTAGCGAGCAAATTTATATACTCTATGCTGTTATCGTTAAAGCTCACGCGATTCGTACTGAATTGAAAAATAGATTTAATTTTTGGAGATTCTTAAGGAGATTGGCCTTCAAATAATAGTGCATTTTCAGATCAACAACAGAAGGAAGCAATATGAGCCACAAGGTTCACGAAATGAACCCCAAACTTAAACCCAAAGTCAAGCTGAAGTCTAACCCTCCTCGCCAAGTTTTCACTTCGGTAAACATAGCCGAGCTTCACTCGTTCCGGTGTCCTCCCTCGCCGAATAACGATCCACTTTTCAACGAGAGTCTAGTTTACGACAGGCCAGGTAAGAAACTAACGACTAAAGCACACCAAATCTGTAGACAATTGGATCTGAAAACAAACTTTGATACTTCGGCAAACTTTTCAACTATAAGTAAAAGCAAAGACAACGAACGAAGTAAACTCAACCCGAATGGACGATCAGTAAACGAGCGACAAGCAGACTTACGACACCTTGCGAGCTACAATTTCGACAATCCTAATTTGAGACCTCAGTCGCGAGTAAAAGATACGAGTTTGGAACTTGAACGAAAACTGCTCAGAAGTCAGGGCCTAAATTTAGACAGTATGCATGGTCAATCTACGTCGAGAACTGTCAAAAGTTTTAATTTAATTACTGATAGAAGTACTTCGGTGCCGAGACGAAAAGCTCAAAAAAGTCAACAAAGTGGTTCCTCTGATACTGATGAGCCGAAAGTTCCGTACGGGAAGATCATAACACAACGCCAGAAAGAAGCTGTTCATAAGATATACGGATCCAAGATGACAAAAAACCAAACCGAATATACTCAAAGTATAGACTATTTAAAAACTCCTAAATTACAAGCAAGTGCAAAGCAATCTTTTTATTATTTGAATCAGAACAACCAAACAGTATTCTCTAATTAGATTCTATTTTCACAGAAGGTTTTTATTAAGAATCGAGCGATATTTGTGGACCAGTTCTGCATCGTACAAAACTTGTTAAAAAATTCTCAATTTTTCAAGAATGATAATTTTTCCCCAATAAAATCTTATTTGTTGGAAAGTGATTTCTTCTTTATTTTCAAGTTTTAATTATTCTTCATTTTTTTTTCAATTATTTTATCAATCTATCTCATACTTTGGAATTTTGATTTCGATTGATTTTTTTGTTTCACTAATAACAAGCACGGGCGGATCCAGGATTTTCTGGAGGGGGGACGGGGAGCGAAAACTTTTATTTAGGTCAATCAAATCCGAGCTCTCCCAAACCACTAAGATCCCTATTTTCGGCAAATGTTCTGCGGCCTAAACAGGCCTTTTTAGGCACCTTTTGGAATATTTTGACCAAAAAATCGCGCTTTTTCGGCGCGCGCTCTCCCTAAAATTAGTGTAATATTGGCGCCAAAGGCGTCTTTAGAAAAACTTTAGGGTACGTCACCAAAAATGGATATCTTAAAAAAGTACAAAAAAACTCACCCCCGCCCCCTAAATCCGCCCCTGAGAACAAGTTTTATTTTTTATTTTTTTATCAGAATGAAAAATAGCATACTTCTCAAACTGGGTTAATTGAATCAGAAAAATCGATCTTTAGTTCTACTCAAAATTATTTGTGCCATGAGTATTAAAGCAGGTCAAGTAAGTTGTTTCTTTTTCGTAATCGAAAATAAAAACATGGAACCGAAATCAAAATTTAGTTAGAGTTCTTTTTTTTAGTTGATCAGCCAGAGGTATAACTCAGAGGGTAATTAATTAAGAATAACTGAGCTACCTTACAAGAACTCAATTTGTAAAAAATTGAAGCCTATGCGTGATTTCAGCCCACAGGTTTTTTATTGCTTAGGACCAATCACTACCGATGCACCACAACACCACGAACTGTCTGTGAGCCATATTAATGCTTGTTTCGAGGAAAATGAATTAAATTTGGTTGATATTTTTTCAAAGCTTACAAGAAAATTGTTGTCGGTATTTTTGAAGTTTGCACATCTGACATTTCTTCAAAATTTTATGGACCATAAGTTTTAATGGTTCATCTCTTCTTCTAAAAAATTTTTTCCAGCCGTCGTTTAAAAAGTTATTCAATGGCTAGAACTGCAAATATTTTAAGCCTGCTTATGTTGACAATAGGAATTGGTCAGAAGTTACTTTTTAACTCAGCCAAAAATCTTTACAAACAAAGCTTCTTTGCTGTAACAATCTTATCATGAAGATTTCAGGGTTAACTCTTAAAATGACATTTGTTGCTCAAAACTAAGAGTAGAATTTTATTCTATAATGTAAAAAGTAAAAAACAAATTTTTTTTTGGTTTTTAGGGCTAAAATATACTTGGCAAATCTGCATCTCCCAAAGAAAAATATATCAGAGTTGGTGATAAGTATTTTAAAATGAGAAAAAAAAACTTTGAAAAGTAGCGGAAAAAATATTTGAGAGAAAACATGTCAAAATCAGTGAAAAATTTTTAAGTTTAAACATCAACAAGACTGCTTGTATCAGAGCGACGCTATGAATGTTCCGAATGCCTTTCAAGGTCTGTGGAGCAGTAATACATGACAAAGAAATAAATGTAATAAAATAAGATTAAATCTTTAAACCCTCATAACTTACGAAAAACAATCACAGATAAAATACCTTTTCAAATTTAAGCTCAAGACAGCAATAGCTTTCGAATGATATTTTAAAACTTCTGTCAAAAATGGCTAGGTAAAAAATCGAAATTTGTCTGAAGAAAAAACCGAACCCGAGCACAATTATTCCGTTACTTTCGTTACGAAAGTCGGAACAACAAAACTGATTTGACCGAAATTTATCTCAAACAAGATCAACCGTACAATCTCAACCCCCCGCCTCCCCTAAGCATGACTTAACCTAGAATACTCTCCCCAATCATGTAATAATTCTGGAAAAAAAAAATCTGTATAGAATATGTATTTCATATAAATGCGCAAATATAACTGATTTTCACATTTTTATGCGGTATTTTATTTGTATGCTCTTAATTACACAAATTAATGTCAAATTTTTTTTAGTTATGCAGTTAATTTTGAAAGAATCTAGACTACACTCAAAGTTAGTTTATGAAAAATCCATATTGTCTCCCCCCTAAATTGATTCTGGGGGAAAATTGTACGGTTGATCCATCAAACGAAAAAATATGTTGAAGCTTTTTGGGAGGTTCTTTCAGATTTTTGATTTTTTGTTTTTTATTTTTGAAGCGAGACATAGCTCAAAACTGTATGGTTTTCGACCGCCAAAATCATGAAGAAAAATTAATATCAGGAGGAGTCGTTTTTGTCATTCACGCTAGTTATAAATTAACGTCAGATTGCATCAAGAGGTACATAGTTTTGAACTTCGTTCAGTCGTAAAATCAGCTGCTTTTTACAAATTCAAAAAAACAACAATCGTACTAGTTTTTGAATGAGCAGGAAAAGTGAAGGAAGAGTCTTCACGAGAAGGGTTACTATTAAGAAAGTCTTAACAAAACCAGACACCGAAAAAAATTACATCTACAAAGATAAGGGCTCCACAAAGTTTTGATGAAAAAACTTTGGTGAACTACTATAAATTTTGTATTATCAAATATTTAACGCTACAATTTGAATTGTACGGAAATACTATGACCAATTTAGTTTTATTCAATTTAATTTGGAGCGATTGTTCACCACGCATTAGAATTTTGCGTGTTGGAAGTACTATAATTCTAAAGAACAGGATCCAACAGCCGTTTGTCAGGCAAATGCGCTTGAAAATATGTGGAATTTTTTTGGTAACTTCAGTTTATTGCTTTTTGAGACGTTTACTTTTATACTTAAATCTCTTGAGTTAGTCTACCACCAGCAGCGCAAGATGCGCAAAACACTAACAATGACCTGCCGTGCAACAGATGCAAGTTATATTTATCTATTTGAGTTTAAGGAAATGACAGTTTTTCAAAATTTAAATTCATGAGCCAATCATTTTTTGTAATTTAATATTTTGCTTTCAAGATTTATTGTAACAGTCGTAAGTTTTCACCAGAGCGATGGCAGACGTATGCAAACGCTTATTCTGCTGCGCTTCAATGTGGAACTAATGAAATAGTTCAAGTCAGTTAGCGTTTTGATATTTTTTTGTTCCATTTTTTGAATAAATAGTCGGAATAATCATGCTTGGGGCGTTTTTTACAAAAACCTTTTGACAATTTTGGATGCCATTAAGAGAAATACTGTTTTCTTGAGCTCAATTGAGAAAATTTCAACTGTGATTTTTTTGTCTCGACTTTTGAAGAAAAAACCTAAAATCTTTGTTTGGGGTGCTTTTTAATTTTTTTATTAGTCTGTTATTCTAAGCAATTTTGACGGAAATTTCTTTTAGCAACTACAGGAGTCGATCTGAAATTTTTGTCGACCTTTTCATTAGGTCGACCAAATTGATTTTCTGAGATCTCCCAAATCACTATAAAGACCCCATTTTGACCAAATTTTCAGAAAAAAGGCCACAAAAGGCTCTTTTTAAGCACTTTTTGAAGAATTTGGACCAAAAATGCGTTTTTTTGGCGCGCTATTCCCCTCAAATGTAGTATATTTTGGCGCCAAAGACACCTTTAAAAAAATTTTAGGTCCGTGAGTCAAAAATTGATGTCATATAATAGTACTAAAGGGGAACCTTTGGGTCGGCAGGGGGTCGAATCCCTCAGGAAGTAAAAGTCGTGTTGTGTCGTTTTTTGCAAGTGATGTGATAAAAGGATTTGAACAAAAGCTTAGAACTAGAATCTTTTGGTTGTAATAGTAAATTAAGTTTCTTTGAGAACAATTTTGATTAGAAAAAAAACAATCAAAAAATTTCTACTATTTTGATGTTTAATTTTAAATTATATTTCAATGTTCAATTTTTACGGTTTTTTCTACTTGTTTTAGTTTCAATTTCAACTTTTGAAAATAACTGATGTCAATTTTGCCTAACTTGACAGTTTTATACGCGTTTATACATGAATGTGGTACTTGTTTAAGCAACTATTTAAATTTTTTCAGAAAAAATTACAATGGTTCAAACTTCGTTCTAAAAATTTCATTGCCAGGGAAGCGATAAAAGCTTGAAATTAGAATAAGTCTCAAAAATTTCAAACCTTTCTTTCTCGACAATTTTTTGAACAAATTCTGGAACAAATTTTTGAAAAAAAAACTGCTCAAATTACGACTTAAAGTGCTTTAATATGGTATATCACTCGATTGGTTCTGTTGACTATTTATGGTACCTGATTTTTATGGAAAGCCAAAACGAGAGAAAACTCAAACACACACTAACACAAAATTTCTCCTCATTTTCAATGATCGCAACAAAAAATGGGAAAAGACGATGATGAAAAATTAAACTCTTGATTTGTTTTACCTTGAAATCCCAGCTTCAAAACAAGGATAGTCGGTTGCTGTGCAATCACATTCTCAGAAATTTTATCTATTAAGTGTCCTTTTTGTACGTCGTGTGATGATAGAGCTAAAAATTTAACGCGTAATTATTTTTGAAAGATTTTTTACCAGAGAAGCGATATATAAGGCATCCAAAATTATGTTTTTTGCTTTAGTAAAGTTATAGATTTTCAGCCTAAAATTTCACGCTTAACGAACGTTACTTGATCAGCTTACTCGCTCGAAAAAAAAAGAATACTCAGAAATTTCAATCTGGTTTTTCCCAACACTGGACATTATTGGACATTTTAATACAGTCGTTCGGATTCCGACTGAAAGGGCTTTAAAATGATATATTTTTCAACCCAATCAGATGATTATTTGTGTTTCCTAATTTTAGGTAGAAAAAATCAAAACACACACTTATACGAAGTTCCTCCCCATTTTCAATGGTCGGGACAACCAGAAGCTTGCTGCTGATGAAATAAAATCTCTTGGAATCACTTTTTCCAGCAAAACTGGTGCATGGTTTTTGTTAA